GCGCCAGCAACACCACTGCGAGCACAACGGCGCCAAGCAGCAAGACCAAGCGCAGCAGCACAGTGCCACCAGCAGCACTACTGTGACGAGCGCGACGGGGAACAGCAGCAACACCACGCGCAGCAACGCAAACGCAGCCAGCAATTCCACTAGAACAAACACGACGAGAACCAGCAGCAACGACAAGCGATTCGCGCTGGACTGCGCGAGCGCCCCCACACCCCAACCGGCCAAGGATGCGTGAAGTCGCAAACTGTCGTATTGTTCACGCGCCAGTGAGGAACTTGAGTTGGGCTTACACCGTCGTGAGCCAGGTTAGCTCTTCCCTACAGAGGAACTTGAAATTACGACGCATATACAAAGTCAACACGAGATAACACATCTCGTTCAGATACTTGGAAAACTGCGACTCGCTGAAAGGCAAATACTGCGAAGCTACCATCTGCTGGATTACGACTGAGCGCCTCTAAATCCGCCGACCCCTTGTGGGCCCCTAGGCGTGTGAGATTTCCCCTCCCGTACCCCCCCCCCGGGGACCCCAAACTGGGAACTTGACCTCACCCATGGCCTCCCCCAGTCCCCGGCCGAACTCATTAGAGGGGGTCCGGGCCCCCCCCGGGCTCGCTCTGGAGCTTCAAGGCAGCTCCTGAAGCCTCCCAAGTAGCCCCCAAGACGGTCCGAGAGAGTCCAGAGTTGCCGAAAGATCCTTCCAAGACGCCCCAAATGGCTTCCAGACGCCCCAAGGGGCCTTCAAATTCCAAGAGGACCCCAAGAAGCAAACATCGTCCCGTTACCTTAGGCAAACTCTAATTTCAACATGTTCGCTTCTTCAGCTTCCAGTGCGTCATAGACACCCCAAGAAGTTCCCGAGAGATCTCCAAGATGCCCACAAGAGGGCTCCAAGAGGACTCCAGAGGGCCCCAAGACGGCCACATAAGCCTCCAGGACAGCCCAAGAGAACCCCAATATGGTCTGAAGGGGTGATCCAGGGGAGAACCCTAATGGAAATGCGCCTTTAGGTTTTCAGCGCTGCGTTGGTTTTCGGCGCCCCTTTGGTTTTCGGCGCTCCTTTGGTGCTCGGTGACCTTTGGTTTTCGCCGCCTCCATTTGTTTTAGGCGCCCCTTTGTTTTTCGGCGCCTCTTTGGTTTTCGGCGCCGCTCTGGTTTTCGGTGCTCCTGATCCAGTGCGCAGACGGGTCAGGGTCTGTGCTGGGGCAGGGGAACCACCCTTGGCCTGGGATCATCCAGGCGGCCCTCGAGTCCGCTGCCTGTAGCACCGCGAGGCGGTCCCCGGAGCGGGTGCTCCGACTCGCAACGGGGAGGCGGCGGACCTCCCCACCGGCTCGGACGGCTTGTCTGCCCATGTGTGGCCTGGCGGCGCCGTTGATGCGCAAGCCAGTCCCACCCTGTGGGTTGCATGTGTCACAGGCCGTGAGCATGGGGGCCCACACCGATGTCTCTGCTGGTTCGGGGGGGGGGGGGCTGCCCCTCGTGCCAATCATCGTCGCTGTCGCTTTGGTGGTCGCAGTCGGGGACCACGATCCCTTGCAATATGAGCCTAGAGGCCTCCTGGGCAGCGAGAGGGGCGCAGTCCAGGTTGACGCAGTAGCGATAGGAGGCTTGATGAAGGATGCGACAAACGAGCCGTTGGTGCAGCCCGTGGGTGCAGATGGCTCTGGCCAGGGAGTGGGGATGCTCACGGGCTCTGGCCTGCGCCCATGCAAGGGCGAGGGCGGGGCACCAACACCATGCGTGCTCGGTGGTGGCCCCCCCAAAACCGCACAGCGGGCAGGCCCCATACGTGCCGCCGCGGCTGGGCACGTCAACGTGCCCTGTGACGCTTCTCCGTTCGGAGGCTTCGCCGCGCACCTCGTTGGGGAGTAGCTCGAGGTCCAAGAGAGGCCAAAGGTCAGCTTGGCCAGCCCAAGCCCCGAGGCACACGTTGCACCATGCACAGCCAGGGTCATTGTGCCCAGCGGTGAGCCAGACACGGCGCGCGGGTCTTCCGCACCTGCCTGCGTTGGTGAGGGAGGCGGTCGGCCGCTCCGCGTCTTCTGGCCGACCCGGGCAACCCGTTGGCGAGGAAGCGTAGGACGTGATGCGCCTCTGTGAAGGAGGCGCACTGTTGGAGGAGAGACCACTCTGCTCCGTCGGTCTGCGCCCAGCGTCTGGACTGGCTGGTGACACGGAGCCAGTTTACTGCAGCGTGGCCATGTAGCTGGGCCCAGGAGGCGGTGTAGACCACGCTGCCGAAGTAGCGATTGTGTACCAGGTGCGGCTCTCGGAGCGCGCGGGTCAGAAAGGTCGGCGGCCCGGGTGTCGGGGCGCGCGGATGAAATAAGCATACGCGGAGTGGGCCGACCATCTCCCAGGCAGTGTCAGGGGGCAGAGGGCAGTAGTAATCATAAGGTTTCACCATTGAACAACTGTTGAAGGAGGAGAGGGAGGCGGGGGCAGGAGGGCGGAGGAGGAGGACGAGCAGGAAGAGGAGGAAGAGGAACAGGGGAATGAGGAGGAGGAGGAACAGAGGGATGGAGAACAGAAGGAGGAGGAGGACGAAGCGTGAGGAGGGGGGGGAGAGGGGGGGGGAGGACGCGGAGAGGAGGGGGGTGGAGGAGGAGGAGGAGGAGGAGGAGGAGGAGGATGAGGAGGAGGAGGAGGAGAATCATATCAGACTCCTATGGGGGCATGACTCCACTCCGTGACACGCCAGGCGCACTATGACCGACATAACTGCCGCGATTTCGGGCCTCCGCCCGCCCTGAGTTTCCAGGGTATCAGAACCCTAAACAACTACCGAAACACAACACACTCCGAAGTCAAATAAGCGCAGCCGGCCCCGAGAGACTTTCCCAGGCCAGAATCACGGAACGACTGAACAACAGACCTGCGCGCGCTGGACAGGAGGAGGAGGAAGAGCAAGGAGGGGCGGCCTGACAGCGGCAGCCGCGGGGCCTCAAGACGCGAAGCCGTGGTAGACGCAGCCGTGCGCGTAGCCCTCGTACCCCCCGTTCAGGACGGCGTCGGAACACACGCGCAGGCCATGGAAATTGCACAAATTCACGAAGTACTCAGTATACAGCGCACGGCGCGACATAAACTCTCAACATCACCAATGGCGGTGGCTCCCACAAGCGATCACCGCCGCCGCCAATTTCCCAAGTCCTCCAAGGACCATGTCAGCCAACATATGCGGCATCACATCGATGCGTTAGTAGTCATCGCTGCCGTTCTCGAGGGTGACCAGGAGATTCCTCTCTAGGTGGCCCTTGGGCGGGGTCCCCTCCTTCAGCTGCGCCCCGAGCTGCTCGCAGCAGACGACTGGCAGCGCGAGCTCGTCGGAGTACGGCATCATCACTTCACACTGGCGCCCTTGAGCGCGGTCTGGATCTTGATGAACGGAAAAGGACACGGCCCGCTTCGTGGACTTCTGGCCTGTGCCTCTATCCCCTCCACCAACCTCTTCAGTTGTAGCCCTCCTTCTCGCAGCCCTGGAAGCTCCCCGCGTCGCGGCACATCATGCCGAGCTGAAAGAGAAGGGCATGGTCACGACGCGCCGCATCACGACTCCCGCAGCCAGCGCACAGGGCGCATCTGTAGCGTGAACAACTGCATACTGGGCACGTGGCTGGCACACCGTGGAACACGATCAATGTACGACACACGCTGGCGCCTACCACGTAAACATCGAAAGTCAGGCGTTGCATCAACAATAAAAGGTGTCTGCGATGTCCCCCCCCCCCCCCCCAACGTTTCTGCCATCTCACGTGCGAGATCCTGCCTGTTGCTCCATACTGCGTCCGTACCTCCCGCCTGCAGTGGACGTGATCTCACATGCGCTGCGCTGCCCCCTCACCAGTCCCACTGCACCATTGGCATAATACATCATGATCTGAACAGTACGACGCGGGAGACCCGCTTGTACCTGTTGTGCGTAGTCGTAAACATGATGGATGGTAGCATTGAGCTTCGGCCGCTCCCAAAAATCCCTGCTTTGTAGAATAAAAAAGAGGCCCGCGACAGTCTCGTCCCCGTAATCCGAATTAGTACTAACAGCACTCCCCACTTCACGAATATCATCCCGAGCTCGAAGCGTCTGTTTGCTAACCATCGTCGATGAGTTTGTGAAGCTGTCTCTTGCTCGGAGGAGGAGGAGGAGGACGAGGCGAATAACGCCCAAAAACCTGGATCCTCGGGGGGCTCACCGTGCTTTGGCCCGGGCGAGCGCCCCGAGTCTCTGCCGCCACATGCGGCCGCCGCCCCGGCCGGCACCGCACGCCGGGCTGGCGGCAACTGTGCCTACCGCCTGGTCTGCGCGCACGACTCCCCCCCCCTCCTCCCCTCGACTGCACGCAAGAGTGGCCCTAGGCAAAGATGGCCGTTGGTGCGCGACTTTGCGAGGCCGCGTGGCGGCCAAATCGTCACTCGGGCGAAGGGCCGCTCTTATGCGTAGGCGATGATCCTCCCTCCTTCTCCTTCCCCTTCCCTGCCCCTTCCTCCTCTTGATAGACTCCGCTGGATGCGATGGACTCTTCTCCAAGCCCCCATAAACACCCTAACACCTCCTCGCCGTCCTTTTCCTTCCCTGCCCCGTCCCCCCCCTTCCTCACATTCCTACTCCTTCTCTTTCTCCTTCCCCTCCACCTCCTCCTCCTCCTCCCTCTTCTTCGTCCTGTCCGAAACACCTCCCTCTGCTTTTGAAGTCGACCCCATGGATCGCAAGAAATCGAACAAACATCCACCATACCTCAGACCTTGAGGTACGAGGTCCTCCAAATTCGAGTCTTTCTCCTCCTCCTCCTCCTCCTCCTCCTCCTCCTTCTCCTCCTCCTCCTCCTCCTATTCCTCCTCCTCCTCCTCCTCCTCCTCTTCCTCCTCCTCCTATTCCTATTCTCCTCCTCATAGTCCTCCTCTTCCTATTCCTATTCCTCGTCCTCGTCCTCGTCCTCCTCCTCCTCCTCCTCCTCCTCCGACGGAGAGCCACGGCGACGGACCGCCCCTCACCGCGGCGGGGGCAGCCCGTCCGCCCCCGCGGGCAGGCGGCACTGGAAGTCCTCGGGCGGCCGCCGCTGGCAGGATGAGTGGGGGGGGGTCCCATCTCCCGCCCCCCTCCTCCCTCCAGTCTCCCGATGGAGGGGAGGGGGGGGGGTGGCGCATCCCCCGCCCCCCTCACCCCTCCTGTTCCCCGATGGAGAAGGAGGGAACGGGAGGGGGGCATCCCCCGGGGGGGAATGGATGGGGGGGGGGGGGGGGAGGGGCATCCCCCTCCTCCTCCACCCTCCTGTGCCTCCATGGGGGGGGGGGCATCCCCCGCCCCCCTCGGAGAGGGGGGGGGGGGGGGCGCCTCCCTCGCCCCTCCTGTCCCCCGCCTCCCCGTGAGCCCTCCCGCGCCTCCCCCAATTCCTCCCCAGCTCAATGGCCCTCCTCGCGCCGTCTCAAAGGGCCCCGTACACAGCAGATGAACGTGCGCGCGGGCCGAAGTTCTCGGCGTCGGCGCTGTTCGCAGGCGCGAGAGCAGGGCACACGAGGGTCTGGGGCCCATACGGGGTCATAGATCTGTTTGACACCGGAGCGTGACATCCGTTATCTCATTCCATCGGCCGAAATTCGGGTCGCTGGTGATAACATATCTCGTTCGAAAATATGTGTGGCACATTCGACTTCCGTCCTTTCCGAGGGCCCCTCCCTGGGATCCAAAACTCCCGCGGGGCATCTACCTGCAAACTGGGCTCCAACTTGCAGTGCCTACACCAGATGAGGACGAGGACGTCGGGAGAGGAGAAGGGGAAGGAGGAGGAAGTAGAGAAGGGGGGAGGAGAGCGAAGAGGAGGATAATGAACCACAGAAAGAAACAATCCCCAGGAGAGAACTAAAGCAATAGCGCTCGGGGTTTGCCGATGACTCTAAGCAGGCGCAAAGGAAGGGCGACATGTGCAGGGTTGGCGCTGCGTGGACGCCGCGCTTGCGACGCCAGCGCGACAACAGGGGTTGATCTGGAACCGGTGGCCGCTTGTGCTTGTTACTCGCAGAATTTAGCGAAGCGTATATCGTGTTAATTACCTCGCGCAAGAGAGCCCATGCCCAGTCCGGCGGAGGGGGGAATAGCCCGGTGGGTAAGAATAATGCATACTCGCGCTCGGGAAGCTAATCTCTCCCACAGGGGGGACGAACTATTGACTAACTGGGACCTCGGGCGAGTTATGGTCGCGCTGCAGACGGTGCGGCGCACTTAGCAGCTGCGTTCGGCGGCTGCCAGTAAGTACAACCGCTGAGACTTAAGCTAAGGTTCGTGTCAACCATGCGAGCCCAGGGATGTGAGCCCAGTGGAATATGAGGCGAACTATTGTCCACAGTGCTGCGCACTGGGCAACCGCGCTCGGCGGCTGACAGTAGGGGCCGCTGAGATCAAAGCAAACGTTCACGTCAACCATATGGGCCCAGTGGGACCTCAGGCGAGCTCTGGTTGCGTTGCCCACGGTACTGCGCGCTTGGCAGCCGCGTTCGGCGGCTGCCAGCAGGGGCCGCTGAGACCGAAGCGGGCCCAGTGGGATCTCGTGCGAATTATGGCCACCAGCGCTGCGCACTTGGCAGCCGAGCTCGGCGGCCGCAAGAATGCTTAAGTAAACCTGTGGGCCCATGGGATCTCAGGCGATTTATGTCGCGTTGCAACAAGTGCTGCGCACTTGGCGACTGCGTTCGGCGTCGGCCCGTGCGGGCATGTGAGACCAAAACAAGCGCCCGTGCCAACCAGGCGGGCCCATTGTGATCTCAAGGAGGTTATGGTTAACAATCCTGCGCCCTTGGCAACCGCGCTCGGCGGCTGCCAGTCGGGTCCACTGAGATCAAAGTAAACGTTCACGGCAAACGTTCGGGATCTCAAACGATTTATGGTCGCGTTGCAAGGAGCGCCGCGCACTCGGCAACCGCACTCGGCGGCTGACAGTAGGGGCCGCTGAGACCAATGCAAACGTTAACGCCAACCATGCGGGCCAAGTGGGATCCCAGGCAACTTATGGTCATCAGCGCCACGCACTTGACAACAACGATCGGCTGCTGCCAGTCGGGGCCGCATAGACCAAACAAAACGTTGATTTCAACCATGCGGGCTCAATGGGACCTCAGACGAATTATGGTCGCGTTGCTGGCAGTTCCGCGCGCTTGTCAGCCGCGTTCGGCGACTGCCAGCAGGGGCCGCTGGGACCAGAGCATTTGCTCACGTCAACCATGCGGGCCAAGTGAGATGTCAAACGTCGTATTGCTAACAATCCTGCGCAATTGGCAGCCGAGCTCGACGGCTGACAGTCGGGGCCACTGAGACCAAAGCAAACACTCATGCCAACCATCTGGGTCCAGTGGGATATCAAGCGAGTTCTGGTCTCATTGCAAGCAATGCTGCGCACTTGGCACCCGCGGTCGGCGGCTGCCAGTGTGGGCCGATGAGACCACGGCAACCGCCCAAGCCAACCAGGCGGGCACAATGGGACCTCAAACAAACAATGGTCTACAATGCTGCGCACTTGGCAACCGCACTCCGTGGCTGATTGTGGGGGCTGCGGAGACCAAAGCAAACGTCCGTGTCAACCATATGGGCCCATCGGGATCTCAGGCGAGCTTTGGTCACGTTGCAATCAGTGCTGCGCGCTTGACAACCGCGTTCGGCGGCTGCCAGCAAGGGCCGCTGAAATGAAAACGTTCATGCCAACCGTGCGAGCCCAGTGGATGTCTGGCGATTTATGGACAACAATGCTGCGCTCTCGACAGCCGCGCCTGGCGGCTGACATCAGGGGCCGCTGACACCGAAGCAAACGTTCATGTCGACCATATGGGTCCATCGCCGCTGCGCAAGTTTTGACCCAATTCGCGGCTGCACCAAGACAATGCCGAACGAATGCTCCAATGGTCGGCAGGGATCAGCAAGCCGTTAAGCGCCAGAGCCTGCGAGCAACAGGACGCCACCACTTCGACTTCGAACCCGGGAAGTTTCGAATTGAGATTCGGAAGAACTCATTGGAGGAATCGCCATTTCGACTTTGAACCGGAAAATTTATCGACTCCTGCCTTGGAAGAATTATTGGGCAGACTCGCCAGTTCGACTTCGAGACCGAAAAATTCGACTTCGGTCGAGACTTTCGATTACATCTCAAGGGGAATCATCCTTTCGACTTGGGCACCACGTCTGGCATTTACAACTTTTTATTCGGTGGCCCGACATGTCAGAAGCGTGGTTTTCGCTCGGGACTTCCCCGAACAACAAAAAACGACTTCGCTCTGATATTGAAACCCGTCGGCCCGAAGTCGGAATGGCGAGTCCGCCCAAGACTTCTCCAAGAAACGTGTCCGACCGACATCGACCCCCCCTGGCCCATACTCCAAACTGCGTTGGCACGTCTTCGCTATGCGGAGCAACCAGACCCACCCTGCCAACATTGCGCTAAGGGCCCCATCGTCTAACGGGCCCCATTTCAACAGATCCTCTCCGCTGGCAACATTAGGGGGGCCCCCACCGCCGAACGGGAGGAGTTGAATGTTTGCCGGCCTCTCGTGGCGTCGAAGTGGGACCTCAAGCGAGTTACGGTCGCGTTGCAGACAGTGCTGCGTACTTGGCAGCCGCGTTCGGAGGCCACCAGTACGGGCCGCTGGCACCATAGCAAGCGCTCGCGTCAACCATGTGGGCCCAGTAGAATGTAAAGTGAATGATGCTTTACAATGCTTTGCACCTGGCAACCGCGCGCGGCGGCTGACAGTAGGGGCCGCTGGGGCCAAAGCACACGATCATGTCAAGCATGCGGGCCCAGTGGGATCTCAGGTGAGGCATGGTCAGCGGCACTGCGCGCTTGGCAGCCGCGTTCGGCGGCTGCCAGCAGGGGCCGCTGAGACCAAAGCAAACGTGCATGTCATTCATTCGGGCTCAGTGGGATCTCAGGCGAGTCATGGTAACCAACGCCGCGCACTTGACAACCGCGCCCGGCGTCTGACAGTCGCGGCCGCCGACGCGAAAACGAGCGTTCTCGCCAGCCACGCGGGTCCAGTGGGACACCAGGCGAGACATGGTCGCGTTGCAAACAGCGGCGAGCACTTGGCAGCCGCGTTCGCTGGCTGCCAGTAGGGGCCGCTGAGACCAAAGCAAATGTTCATGTCAAACCCCTGGGCCCATGGGATCTCAGACCATCTATGGTCGCGTTGCAAAATGTGCCGCGCAATTGGCGGCCGCGTTCGGCGGCCGCCAGAGGGGGCCTCTGAGACCAAAGCAAACTTTCGTATCAACCATGCAGGCCAAGTGGGGTCTCAAGCGAGTTACGGTCAACAGCGCCGCGCACTTGACAACCGCGCTCGGCGGCTGCCAGTAGGGGCCGCTGGGACAACAACATACGCTCATGTCGATCATGGGCCCCATGGGGTCTCAGGCGAAATATGGTCGCGTTGCAAACATCGCCGCGCACTTGGCAGCCGCTTTCGGCGGCGGCCAGTGGGAGCCTCTGAGACCAAAGCAACGTTCATGTCAACCAGATGGGCCCAGTTGGATCTCAGGCGAATCGTGGTCACCAGTGCTGCGTTCTTGACGATAGCTCTCGGCGGCTGGCAGTAGGGGTCGCTGAGGCCGAAGCAAGCGCCCATGCCAGCCATGTGGTTATACTGGGACCTCGGGCGATTTATGGCAACATTGCAAATTGCGCAGCGTACTTGGCAGCCGCGCTCGGCGGCCAGTAAGTCCCGCTGAGACACAAGCAACGGCCCATGTCAAGAATTCGACCTAAGTGGGATTTCTAGCGAGTTATGGTCAACAGCGCAGCGCACTTGGCAATCGCGCGCGGCGGCTGGCAGCAGGGGCCGTGGAGACATAATCAAACACTCATGCCGACGATGCGGGCCCAGCGGGGCCGCGTGCGAGTTGTGGTCGCGTTGCAAAAAGCGCCGCGCACTTGGCAGTCGCGTTCGGCGGCTGCCAGTGGGGGCCTCTGGGACCAAGGCAGAGGTTCATGTCAACCATGCGGGCCAGGTGGGATCTTAGGCGAAGTGCGGCCACCAATGATGCGCACTTGACAACCGCGCCCGG